TCTACACCTGGAAGACCGTCTGGTCCTGGGTCACCCATTGGACCTGGCGGACCTGCGGGACCAGGCAGACCTGCTGGGCATGGTCTGCATGGTGGTGGGGTTATTGGAACGCAAGGTTCAAGGTTTGGTTTTCCAGGCTTTCCTGGTGGACCTTGTGCACCTGGTTTTCCTGGTTTCCCAGGACGCCCAGGAGGTCCTTTTGGGCCGGGTTCGCCTCCGGTGCAGCACTCGTCACAGTTATGAGCTTGCCTAGTGGTACGATTTCTTGCTGTGTCTTGACGTTTTAAAATCCCAACTTCTGACCATATATCTTTGGCTGATCCCTATAAAATAAAAATTTTTGAAAAAAAAGACCCAAGTATTCTACTGTCAAATAAATTCTGAGGAATTTTTCAGGAAAAATACTTACTGAAAAACAGTAATTATTGTGCAAATTAAGTTAGTTTTTCATTACAGACTATTAAAAATTCTTATACGCAGTGTACAGCGCTGTTATTTTGTAAACCAAATACTGTAAAAGTCTACTGGAAAAAATAAGAGCATTAAAAAAAAAAACTTTGAAAAACACAGGATCTAACAAAAAAAAGCAGAACAAGTTTGCTAAGAGTTTGAAAGTAATTTAAATAAATTTTTTTGTTTTTGCAAAAACTTTGTTTTTCTACAAAAGCAGAACACTAAATAAGCTTTTTACGCTGTCACTTTTGTCAATTGCTGTCAAATTGTTTAGCCAAAGTTCAGCAGTTTTTTGAAGCTTATTTGTTAATCGAAGAAAAAAATACAGAAAATTTAATTCAAAAATAAATGAAGAAGTTAACAACTATGATTACTGTATAATTTATTTCAGACAAATATAATTGAAGCAAAAAGAAAAAAAAAACAATTAAGTAAGCTTTTTAAAGCAAATAATTTTTGAAAGATATAAGAGATTAGCTTTTCTTTTCTGTCTTTTTCTTTTTTTGTTTACCTGACAATATCGCAGATCATTGTCCATGCGGAATTGTAATTGATTAACATAACTGTGGATTAGCGGTAAGGCAATACAAACAGCTAAGACTGATATTACCGAAAATGATATGGCTGCATAGGAGACAGCCTTGTAGGCTTTGATACGACACTGGGAGTCCATATGTGAAGAACACGAGCGTCGAACACTACTAACTAACAGGACCACAAAATTGTGAGCTGCTGTTTATATGGAGACCTTCCTAATGACAGCCCATTTTTAAAAGAAATTTTTCATTAGATTTTTTTTTCATGTGTGCTTTTTTTTTTGTCTTTTCTTCTTCATTTTTAAACAACGTAATACTTTTAATTTTCTGCTATTTTTTCGCTTTTCTTTTTTTTTTCAACCTGATGCTGTTCAGCAAGTTTCACGTAACGGACAAATAGCAGTGGTATATGAAGAACACAACACAACACACACA